TGGCACCGCTTCCTACTGTGACATGGCACACAACGCCGCTGTTGACATGGGCAACAGGCAACAGCGAACGGAATAAAAGCCGGCTGAGCAGCAAGCGAGAGTTAGTGTGTGAGCTGGAGTAACACAGTTGGAGTATAGCAGCAGTCGCGGAAAGAAGAACTGGACGCGTGTGCTATTCAGCGATAGTTTGTGATAACTGAGAAGTAATTGGGAGTGTGTAACACAGTGACACTTACATAGCTCCCGTACTGTGAATACGTGTAGACTACTGAAGATAGAGTGAACAGATTATTGCGAATAGGGTTATAAAGTGTGAAACCCCGCAACAGTGTTATAATCAACTGTAGTTACGACTTGTAGATTGTTAAATAAACCAATTAACAATCCGAACAGCGTCTTCGGTAACGAAACACGTTACAATATGATGAATTGATGATTGGTTTTGGAAATTGTGTGATATTATTACATAAGGAATTCCTGTCATAGAATTTTCCCTGATAAATATTGTTACATTTTGGATGTGGAAGGAAGCAATTTTGGCTTAGTTTAAGATATTGCAACATGTTTTGGTCTCTGAAGACGCCATTCGGAGTGTTAATTGGTTTATTTAACAACCCACAAGTTTTGGCTACAATTAATTATAACACTGTTAGGGGTTTACACAATTTATAAACCCTACACACAAATCTCTTCACACTGTCTTCAGTAGTTTACACGTATTCATAACACGATATGGGAGCAATACCAGTGTCACTGTATTACACACTCCCAGTTACTTCTCTTGTGAGCCAAGCATTTGTTTCTCACACTATCCCTTCTAATCACACGTTCCAGTATTCTTCTTTCCCCTACAACTGAACTCGGTGACTGTTCCAATTCCACTGTCTCCAACAACGGCTACATTTCAACTGTGTCACTCCTGATCACACACTACTCACTACTGACGGACCCCATGGCTAACTTGTAACTAACTATTGAATAGTTTTTGCTGCTCCTTATTTAGCCTCGTTACAGACAACACAGAAAACAGGTACGTAATAAGCACCACTGTTGTGTAACANTTTCCAGTATTCTTCTTTCCCCTACAACTGAACTCAGTGGCTGTTCCAGTTCCACTGTCTCCAACAACGGCTACACACACACTACTCACTACTGACTGACCCCCTGGCTAACTCGTAACTAACTATTGAATAGTTTTCGCTGCTCCTTATTTAGCCTCGTTACAGACAACACAGAAAACAGTTACGTAATAGGCACCACTGTTGTGTAACGTCGTGTTTACCGACTGCCTAGGAACAGTCGTTGCATGGACTTCCCACCGTGTTTACAAAGGCGTTGCTGGGCAGCGGTGCCAGGAGTTGTTTATGGCTATGTAGCAACTGCGGCATCCCATGTTATGTCACCGTGGGGAAAGGGGTGTCTACCGAGCGTTGCACGCCGATGGACGGAGTGGGGGTATGTGATGTCACTCGCGAGATCACAGAGTTCACACGACCCCCACCTCCCACTACGCCATCCACATCACACTATTGTCTCAGTATTTGCATGGGGAGACTGAGGAAAACCATGAAAGATCTTAGTCAGGATACCTGCCCTGCAGGCCAGTAATAGACTTCCAGAAACTCCCAAGATGAAGCAGAATTTTAACATTCAACATTTAACTGCAATATTTTGTTTGATTTTGTTTCCAAGTAGAAAGACTTCTTATGTAAATGCTGTTTTTTTCTGTCGAAATTACATTCAGAAATATATGCAAAATCTTGGTCAGAAATTGCTAGGAGAAGAGACTACTTCAGAGATCTAGGTGTATGTAGGAGGATAGTATTAATATGGTTGTTAGAAAAATGGAGTGTGAAAATGTGGAGTGGATTAAACTGATTTTAGTATGGGATCCAGAGGTGAACTTTCTGGTTCCATAAATGCCAGGAATTCTGTGACCAGCAAATTAACTGTCAACTGCTGAAGATTCTGTTCGAGTTATTTAGTGTAAATTACTTTTAAGAGTTCAAATAATTTTCCAGTTTGTATGTAACATGTGTGAGAATGTAATTATACAAGATGCTAATGATAGAGCTTAAATATACAACTCTGCCTTTCTTGGCAGATTCGTTTAACAGGCACACCCCATTCCCCATACTGGCCAGATAATGGAGTTTACTGTATTACTTCAAGTCAAAACTGGTACAGTTACTGCAGAGAGTCAAATGTACAGGATTCTCAGAATACCATATTTACATAACAGTTTAAAGGAATAGCAAGTTTTCAGCAATTTATCACTTCATATTCCTATGTTCCACTCATTCTCAAATCTTTGTACATTGAAACAGATCTTGTTGCATGGTTTAATTATTTACACTGTGTCAAGTGCAAGGTTTGTAAGCGCATCTCAAGGGTTGAAGGTATTAATTCATATCAGTGCAATCAGCAGGCTTCTAGACTTGCATGGTTTTGAGTTATGGCCCATTTCAAGGTACTGTGTCACAGTTTGGAGGTAATGAGGAGACTCATAAAAGATATGCCATAATATTTTTTGTCTTGGTCAAGATAAAAACAGGGGATATTCTGAATATGAAGCCATGTTTCTTACTTCAGGATGTAAATGAAATGTATTGTGAGTTTCCATTTAAATCACTTTTGAAATTTGGCCTTCAAAGGTGCCATCAGGGTGATTTAGAGTTAAAATATTTTATTTTAGGTTGCTTCTTGGTGGGTCTTTTAGACAATGTAAAATGTTTTTCTGCTCTCTGAAATGTCTACTTCTTGGACGTTTCATGCTTTGGAATACAGTTCAGTGTTTCTTCCAGTGCAGATTTGTCATACTTATCATAATTTGGAACTATCAGTTTAAATTCTCTGTCTAACAGGCCATGAAGGCCCATAAGATCATGAGACGTTGAGGGTCCCACATTATCTAGACAATCGGCTCACAGATAGCGGTAAGGCTGTCAGCTATATGCACTGGCCGCCCTTTACCTGTGCCCCCCTCCTCCGGGAAGATTTGTGGTACTCATTTCTGTTAGAGGCAGAGTCAACCAAAGAGCCATAGTACAGCTGGAAGGATTACGTCAATTGAAAAAATCCACCTCATTGGGACTGGAATCTGCAACCTTCCGCCTTGTAGCATAGTGCCTCAACCAAGTATGCTCCCACATGCCCCCATTCTCTGCCAAGAGAGCGTAATAAAATAAAAGGTGGATTTGTGTTTGCGTCAGGGTGGCACCATTATTAAATACTTCCAGTGCTTCTGAATGGAAACAAAGGAAATTTCTTCTATGGTTGCTAGTATTGTCAGAAAGAAACGTAGTTATATATAATTGTTTACTTCAGAGCCCTCCAGTTCATCTATACATTCTTCAGTTGTGTATTAGAAGACTCTCAGCAGGGTAAGAAGTCTGAAGATTTAGTTCCGTTTCTGAAGAAAGCATACAAGGAAACATTGGAAGCATACCATGGATGGATGACTCAGAAGTTGTTTGGGGTAAGTGAAAATTTATTATACAAGTCATATTTAATGTAATACATGTGAGTATTGCAATTCCATCATCTGTATTCATTGTTTATGTCCCATCAGCCATCCTCCAGACATTCAGAATTTACACTAGCCGGTAGCAGTTCTTTTGGACACAGTGTGTTACAGTTGTTAACTGGTTGACAGTCCTAGAGATGTGGCTTTGCATTCATTTAACAACATGCAAAACTGAACTCATATAGGGAAGTGTGTGTGTGTGTGTCTGTCAGTCCATCTGGCCACCCACCCACCCGGTTGGCTATTTCAATTCTATAACTCCTGGACAGGTTTTGATGGCATTCAATATCAGAGTTCCTTGCAAAAATGTAGAACCATTTTGTTTCTATAGATTGATGTCATTGAAGTATCCTTTCATAAGGGAATATTAATGCAAAGAATGCATGTGGGAAGTGTGTATAATTTGCTAAACCTTTCCAGTTTTGTTGTTATTAGGGCCTTGGGTCCTAACATTTTTCATTCATATGAAGTTGTGAATTGTATTGATAGAAGAAAAATACATGACAGGTACCAAATGGCATTACTTCTTGACTGAATTGTGGTAATCTTCTTTGCAAGCATCTGGACTCAAAAACCTCTGAAGCACTTGTAACATCTTCAATATGTCCATACATTTTGGAATGTAATTCCACTTAAATCGTCCTTCTGCGTTAATTAGATTACAAGATATATCTGAAAAATGATGCCATATTGCCTAGTCAACTTTTATATGTATGTATATATGTAATTGTAACGAGAAATCAATAACAGAGACATTATACGAGGGGCAGTCAAAAAGTTCCCAGATTGGTGGTATAGCATTCTAATGGTAGGACATACGGCAACGCTTACCTAATCACCTTTCAAGTAGGACCCTTGTGCGCACACACGCTTGCTCCATTGATCCTGCCATTGTTTGAAGCAGTGGTGGAAGGCTTCTTTTGGAATGTTCTGGAGCTCAGCCATCGCATTCGATTTGATGTCCTCCATGGTTGCGAAATGTGTGCCCTTGAGGCCCATTTTCAGAGTAGGGAACAGCCAAAAGTCACTTGGAGCAAGATCCAAAGAGTATGGTGGTTGAGCAATGACAGGAATGTTTTTCTCGGCAAGGAATTGCTGCACAACAAGCGCTGTGTGGCTCGGTGCGTTATCATGATGCAGAAACCACTTGTCACGCCGCTTCCTCCGAACCGCATCGCGCAGCCTCTGCAAAACTTGCATGTAGAAATGGCCAGTAACAGTACCAAGTTCTTGCTCCAACTCCATGATGGTCATTCTTTGATCACATCGAATCAGTGGTCGCAGTTTTCCAATCATTTCTTCGGTTCTGGATGTTGAAGGTCTCCTGCTGTGCTGGTCGTCCTCTAACGTCTCCTGCCCATTCTTAAACCGGTAAAACCAGTCGTAAACTGTGGATTTCTTTAGTGCAGTATCACCATAAACTTGCTGCAGGGCCGATAACGTCTCTGAAGCAGATTTTCCCAATTTGCACATGAACTTGGTGTTCACACACTGTTTGAACTGCGACATTGCACCGAATGACCAACACTCACGTCTAATTCAAACGGAACAGTAACGACACTGCACACTGAAACCTATCCAGGCCTGTTGCACCTGCGAGCAGACATGCTGAGTTTCCCACCACAACTTGTTCTCTGTCTGCAGGGGAATTCCGGGAACTTTTTGACTGCCCTACGTATACCCAGTAGTTGAAACATACTTGGTGACTTTTTCTTCGGTGAGTATTTAGGTGGAGGTTTCTGCTTCTGTAGTAATTATGGAGTCATTAAAGACTCTTATCACATGTAGTTTGAACCTTTCTCTTGTTTCATATTTTTTAATATAGAAACAGTATTGCTTGAATTAGGAGTATATTGCTTGTTTAAATCATGTCATGATAGTCACACTATTCAGTACTGAGTGTTGTGAATTGAATGTTGATGTGTGTTACACTTTCAGTAAACCAAACTGTTTCTTACTGTACATATAATGTACATGTTTGGTATCAGTCAATTTTCCTTCCTCATTTGGCTTGTATGCTGATGCAAAGTTTAGTTTCTTTTAAACCCTTGAACTTTATTTTAGAACATATATGGACAATGTACCGGTTCTTGCAAAAATGGAAATGAACTTTTGAGGTTTCATTGAAGGTGAGGAATTTATTGAATAGCTCAGTGACTGTTAGCGTCTCAAGGAAGTTTGTGCTCCATGTAGTTAACTTGTATCCCTCAAATAAACTATGGGGGTGGAAACTGCTAGTGATCTCCAAAATGTCATGGTGAGTAGCCAGAAACAGGTTTTGTGATAGGTGGAACCTTTTCCTTCTGGTTCCTTAAAGAGAATTTTCTAAATACATGACACAGGTTGAAGGGCAGATTTATGATATGTGGACATCTGGGACATCTGCAGTTAAGCGTTCTTTCATACCAAATTGTAGGAATATAGAAACCTGATTTTTTCTTGCAGGCTAACTCATATATATTTTAAAATGAATGGTATAAAACTGTTTATTAATTGGCTGACTTTAGAAAATAATTAGCAGTTACAAATTGTGAGATTAATATGAGCAGTGAATTAATATGTCTCATATTAAATTGGGATGTTGAACATATATTGAAGAATGGTGTGTATTGACATTTTCATTTTGATTTAGCTTCTGGCTCGGATGTGCCCTTCACGAAGTGAGCTGATGATAACACTAGCTTTAGGGCGAGAGAATCATGATGAGGCAGTGCTACGTGAAATGGCAATCTTCCTTACAGGATTAGATTCAAATATTCAAGTACTTATACAGCTTTACTTAGAAAACGGTTTGGAATCTAATTCAAAAGTGTAAATGCAGATTTATCATACTTGCCATACTTTGGAACTATCAGTTTAGATTCTCTGCTAAGAGAGCACAATAAAAGATAAAGATGGGTTTGTGTTTGCAACAGGGTGGCACCATTATTAAATACAATACTTTGTAGCTCAATGTGACATTTTGTATACAGTGATTATACTTGAGTTTTTTTATAACCCAGAAATGTTTCCATGAACACATTTTTAAGTCATCCAGTACCAATGAAAAAGTAATGATAATTGGTTAGCAATTTAATATTACGTATGTATAGCATTTTAGACTGTTTGTAAAACTGGCATTTTATTGCATTTCTAATTGGTACTTAAACTAGCAGGGAGCTATGATAGTGCAGTTGGTATAGCGACTGGCTATGGTCTGGATGACAGAGAGGTTGGAGTTTGAATCCTGGTAGGGTCAAGAAGTTTTGCTTCTCTGCATTGTCCAGACTTGTTCTGGGCCCCACCTAACCTCCTATCCAATGGATACTGGAGGCTCTTTCCCTGGGGGTAAAGCGGCCGGGACATGAAGCTGACCACTCACCTCCAACTACTGTAAAGGTCAGGAAAACGTGGATCTATACATCCACTCCCCCCCTGTATGTCTTCATGGCACTGTCCTTGATTAATTAAGTACAGGGACAACAACTTTTTTTTTACTTAAACTAGCAAATCATTTGTGCCATATGATATGCAACCATGGCCTATGATAGGATATAATACCAAGGAAGCTTTAAGTGATATAAATATGAAGTGTTATTTTAGTAAGTTGTCTCAGATTTCACATTGTTATGAGCATTTTATAGAAACTTTTAATATATTTTGAATGAAATGTTGTGAATGAGGTTCCCATCCATTAAATGTGAAATATATATTTATAAGAATACAGTTGTTAAGCCACTACATTGAACAGAAATTAATTCAATAAATAGAATAACAGAATTTATACCTAAGGCAGTGTTGGGAAGCAGTTGCTCAATATTATTGTTATGTATGCATGAGATATAACTTAATTGTCATGACTCAATAAAATATAAAATTCTAAATTCTTGTCAAATTAAAGTAACATAAAAATGACATAGAACTATTTCTGTTTGGAAGTATGAATAGTTCTGCCATAAGTGGGTAATTCATATTTTGAGAATAAATATAAACTTCTGAAATAATTTCTGTAAAAATTATATGATTGCTTTCTAATATTGCACTTACAAAATAAATAGCCTTTTTGAAGACTATTTACTTTCTATAGCTCACTTCTATAAATACACACAAATGTCTAATGTTTTTATAAACGTTGTTAAGTTTACATAGAAATAAATTATTGTCTTATTTAAATTGTGTTATTTACATGCTGCTCATTGATGTATATACATATATGAAGAAGGATCCTGGACCAAAAAGTGTCTCCTGTGAGAGTGCATGGGATATGAGTGAAGGAATAAGATAAAAGAAGGCCTTGAAGTGAAGCACATTCAAGTTCCCTATTTGCCTCTGAATACAAGTTACATGGAACTTATGAATCAGGGTGTCATTCTTTGCAGGCATACCAAAAACCCTTAATCTATTATTATTCATGAGAAATAGAAAGGAATGCTCCTGTGACAGCTTGGGAAAAGGAATGCTGTCAATGCAGTAAGAAGTGATGCAGTAGCTTGGAATTCCATCTCAAGTACAATTATCCATATCTGTTTTGCCAAAGGGTCTGTGGCGTGACACAGAGAAATGTCATAGAAAAAACCAGGATGACAGAGCTACAAGGGCAAGTGGAGTGCCTGAGTGAATACTTAAGTTCACAGAATCTCGAGATCATCTGTTCTCACCACCACAACAGTTCCTCATATATTTCGTACTACATATTAGAAAGTACATAATACATTTTACCCAATTCTGTAACTAGCATGTAATGTTTATTTGTATTAATTTTCATGCTCAGCAGGTACATCGTAATGAACACTGCATAGTTACAGTTCATTTAATTTGAAATTTGTGTTTTTGGTTTCAGACGCTTAAAATGAAGGTTTTACTGCTTGTTTAGTAGCCATAGAGCTATTCTTATGCTGAAACAGTGTTGTTATATTTTTAAAACTGCCTTACTGCACCAGAATGATGATTGAGAGAATGGTGTCTTGGGATTCATGTGAGAAATGGGCCTTAATGACCTATCCTATAAAGTTCTCGAAGATGAAGACTTCCTTGTACAAAAAACTTCACACTTTAAATGTTGTGTACAAAACAAGTATTTCTCAGTTTGAGTACTGGTAAGACAAACACAAAGATTGTGGCTCTCAAGGCTTCTAACAGTGGATTAATATTATCATGGGGGTAATTTCGTTTTACATTGTCCATTATCTCAACAAAGAAAACATTTCATAGGGAGCCTGTCTTCAGGCAGAAACATCTATCTTGTAGGCCTGTTGGATGGTGGAAAGGAACCCACAGAGTACTCTTTTTTTCTTTCTGCTTAAAGCCAGATGCAGAAGCAGCATGTGGAACACTGTACAGGTACTCCTCACTACATGCAAGTTCCAAAAATGGGATCAACTTATTTAGGATGACTTAAGTTAATAGTGCTCATTTTAGTGTGAAATGCTTGCTGGCCAATTAAGAGACATGGGGAGAATAGTAAGTTGATTGCTATATGGGTTTGCAGGGAAGAAATGAGGGGAGAAGGGAAAATTGTTACATTTATGCATATTTTTTGGAACCGAACTATTACATAAATTGAGGAATAGCTGTATATCTCTTTTACTTGTGAAAAGTATTTATTGATATTTATAGTGTATACTTTATACAGCAGGGATATTTCAATCAAGCTTGTGTGCTAGATCAGGTAGACTTCTTGAATCAGGTATGGATTGAAACTGCATAATATGGAAACGGTTGGCTTGATGCTGTGAAGCATGTCTGAGGGCAAAAAATCCAGAAACCAATTGTACTGCTAAAAATGACAGCATTACTCCTTGGACAACACGTTCAATTGGTAAGGGCACAGTCTCTTCATTCACAAACAAGAACAGCTGTAGAGGCATTTGCAGAAGCAGTGATAGCATCCAGAAGCCGGCTAGTTCAGGTATCTGTGTAAAATGTGAATTTGATTAATATCATATCTTGGACGAAAGCTGCAATATCTGAATACCAATGCTCACTTTCATTAGTAACTTATCAACTGCACCAAAATATTAGTGACAAACACTGGAAATATTAGATTAGTAAACATTTAAATGTATTTATCCAAACTGACACTAGTCTGACAGAATAACTGGCTAAGGACTGGAAGATTTGGGTTCAACTTTTGGCAAGTCCACTGGAAATTTATTCTTTTCACCAGCACATACAGAATGGCTCTAGGATTTGCTATAATTCATATCCAACAAATAGAATTTCCTCTATTTTGAGGATAAAATATCAGTTATGAAACCATTCAATCACTTCCACCTAAGACACTGTGGGAACATCCCACATTATCACACATTTTCTGCAACGCACACTCTTCACATCACTTTTCACCGTCACGTGCGCTAACCAATCAAATTGCTCCAAACGTTCACATTTATACTGCGCTCGCTGCTAGCCCGCGTGAACATCATTATGCGCGCTAGCCAATCAATTCTTCCTCCTCAATTTCAAGTTTTGCTCCGCCCATCGAGCAGTGTATAAAAAGGGGCAGCTCCAACGCCGAATCATTCAGTTCATCATCAGTCTATGAGCTAGCCACACCAAGCAACATCAGCCAGCAGGCTTCGTCGCCAGTGCTCGGTCTATGGAGGCATCGGCGCTTCGCTGCGCCAGGCATGACTGCCACGGCTGTCTGCCGGTCACACCCGACTCACTGGGCAACTAGGCCACACGGACTCGCCGGTAGTCATACCTGACACACTGGGCAACTGGCGTAGCTACCGCCTCTCCGCTCCAGCGACCGCGCTCAACGACTGGCCTTTCACCAGCCATTCACCGTAACTAGCCTTTCTCCTTACCGGTGCGCGCCGTGCTACCTCTCCGATCAAGCATCTCAGCAACCACAGTCCTTTTCAGGGCCAACAAACTGTTCCAAAGAAGTGGGTTGTCATCGGAGTAATGACAAAGACTATACATTAAGAGCCCCCACAACACAACGTGGTGCTCACCTTACTTATCACTCTTTCTGTTTAATTATCAGGGAGCATTCTATGTGCTTATTAAACCTGGTCCCATGTCTGCAGATGCTTACATTCACTGTGCTCTGTAATTCTGAATACTAAGGAACTGCAGTGATAACACTACTGCATATATCATGGACTCTTTTGTGCTTGTCTGAACTCTCAGCTTTTTAATTTCCAACACTATAAAAACATAACCCCCAAAACAAGGAAATGGTATTAAAAACAGGTTAAAAAATTAATCTATTATAACATATTTTTCTTTTCTCAATTTTTCTGCTGGTAAGCGAGTGCCTCTTTTTTGTGGGGCTATTCGGAAAGTTTCGTGTGTGTGTGTGTGTATATATATATGAGGGTGAGTCAAATGAAAACCTTAAATTTGTAATAAAAAATTGAAATTTAACGCCATTATCCTGTAAGTTCGTAAGCGTGCTACAAACAGCGTGCAGAATGGCCTGTAGGTTGCAGCATAGTGCAGATGCACAAACACCGTCACAGCACCAGTATAAGAGACTTGCACCAGAGAAGAACAGCGTTCTGTTATTTGGTTTTTGTGTAGTAAAGGTGTGAAACCTATTGAAATTTATCAAAGAATGAAGTTTCAGTATGGTGATGCATGTTTGTCACAGCAGCAAGTGTATGAATGGAGTAGGAAATTTGCAAATGGTGTGACTTCAGTGGAAGATGCTCCTCGTCCAGGTCAGGCACAAGTTGTGACTCCAGAGAACACTGCAGCAGTTGAAGCCATAGTGAGGGAAAACTGCTGAGTGACATTGAATGAAATTGCAGCAAGTTTAAGCATTAGTAATGGTTCAGCACACCACATTGTGCATGATGTGCTCCAGTTTCACAAAGTGTCTGCAAGATGGGTGCCACGGCAGCTGACTCCTGACAGACGTATTGATGCTTGTGAAGAACTTCTGCGGTGCTTTGAACGAGAAGGCGATGACTTCCTTGTAAGAATCGTTACTTGGGACGAAACCTGGGTTCACTTCCACCAACCAGAAACGAAGAGAGCGAGCAAGGAATGGCGCCATTCCTCATCTCCAAAACCGAAGAAGTTTCGAACACAACCATCAGCAGGGAAGGTTATGCCGACTCTCTTTTGGGACAAAAAAGGCATTATCTTGGAGCACTACACGCCTGGAGGGACCACTGTCACCAGTGCATCATACTCAGATCTCCTCAGATCATTTTCGGCCTGCAATCACATCAAAGCAACGTGGATTGCTGTCCACAGGTATCCTTTTGCAGCATGACAATGCAAGGCCCCATACTGCCCATACAACAGTTGCGACAATCAATGACCTGCATTTTGAGTCTCTTCCCCATTCGCCATACTCACCAGACCTTGCCCCAAGTGATTTCCATATGTTTGGACCACTCAAAGAAGCAATGGGAGGAAAGACGTTCCGTTCTGATGAAGAGATACGCCATGTGGTGCATGAGTGGTTGCGTGGACTACCAAAAGAATTTTTTTCTAAAGGAATTCATGCACTTTGTAAGTGCTGGAAGACTTGCATTGAGCATGGGGGAGATTATGTTGAAAAGTAATACAGCTTTCTACCACTTGTGCACAATAAATAATACTCAAAAAAAATATTTAAGGTTTTCATTTGACTTGTGTTGGTGTGTATCCACTGCTTTAACTGCTTTTTGGTTTCAAGATTCACAACGCTTCAACAATAATGAGTTAATGGAAGGTGTCGAAATGTGGCTGAGCACATAGGTGGCGTACTTCTTTAACAAAGGCATATAAAAACTTATTCCCTGATATATCAGGTGCCTCAATTCCAGAAATGACTACATTGAGAGACAGCTTAAGTATATATGTATTTTTTTTTAGTATAATAAATTTCTTTTTCATTGCTCGTTTTATTAACACTTCACAGGAGGGGGTTACTTTCCGAATACCCTCATACTTTACATTCTTGGCACATTTAAACTTGATCTGATAAGCTGGATAATTAATATGTGACTGAGATGAGCTATACTTGGGGAGGAACAAAAGTGAACAAAACATTTTGGTTCCAAAACCTTTCTGAATGAGGAAGACAAAGTTGTACATTGGAGTGAATAAATATAAACTTATTTGGACTATTTATAATAACTTTTAACAAAAGTGCTACTAGAAATAAGTTTACATTACTTTTTCTGTGAGGTTGCCCAAGTAGCCCATGTAGAGACGTAGGCACTCAATGCCAATCACAGCAATTAGAACGGTTACAACTATGAAGCGATATATGTTGCTTAAACATTCATACTGAAATTAAAAACATGTTATGTAGCAGTGTTTTCTTTCCAAAGTAAATAGTACACAATGATACCTTTATATATGGTGACCTTATATGATTCTTTATGCAGATCTAGAAAGGTCCCCATCACAGGAGTAACAAAAATCAATTATCATTTCAGGTAGCAATATATTTGGAGGTACAACCACAAAAAATAAAATACAAAAAGTTCCAAGCACACTCCCAGCCTCATTACACTTGAAACCAAACGTCACTTCGTAATCTGTAAACAGTCTTCGGAGCCTGACTAAACTATTTGGGCAATCATGAGACGAGAAGACTTTGGGAGCTAAAGTTTGTCGTGCTTAACCAATACCTTATCGAACAAATTAAGACTGTGCACCTACATGAGGGTTTACCTTAAATTGCAACATAATTACAACTGTTACCAGCCAGACTGGGAAGAATACAACATTGAAGTATAATGACATTTGAAGAGGAAGGCTCGAAACAATTTCAGTTCCTGAAAATTCGACATTGAACTTACTTAAACATATAATTAAACCGTTCAAAATTTAAAAGCAACTACAATTTATTATCAGTTATTATATTAGTATTAAAATAGAAAACCTAATGCGATAAATTCTTTCTCATTGTGAGAATTATAATAAGTTAAACCAGGAAATATTTTATCCGAGGCACATGTAACCCTTCGCTTCAACGATTCCGCCATTGTTTACTCAATTATAACTTGTTTCTACTCGGGAAAATTATAGTTGTAATGTTGGTAATTTGGTACATCCAAAGACCCCGCCCCCGCCAAGCAAAGATTAGCGATCAAAAGCGGTTAAGGATGAATGGCCTGAGTCGCCGATCCGTAGCGGTCTTAATGCTCGTAAACATCGTTCCGTGTTACGGTGTGAAGTTGGGCGTGAAGGTTTGCAGATTAGCAGATTAGGGTATATTTCATAGGGATGAATTTTTATAGCTTTGAATATTACAATATGTAGTTAGTAAATCGAACATTGTGCCATATATTAATGTGCTAATATTAGTAACGTAAGTGTGCACCTACGAAGCCTCGGACACATTCGAAATGCTGAGATTTTTGAGTCGGAGAAGAGTGGAGAAGAGCACATAATGCACAGAAAACCTCAACACAAGTCAAATCTGGATCACAACGGATCGTCCCTAATAAACATGTCGTTCAGTGTAGGGTTATACTTCTACATGGCACCGATCTGTCCATAGATTTATCTGTAAGTATTTATTCATAACTATCTAATATAGAATTGTAAATAAAAGCACGCAGTGTCATTTTTAACGCGTACACCCACATTAGAACGAGGTTTCTCCTATGCAGTCGCTTGCAAGAAATATCCACCCTCTTGGTGTATCGAAAACGCAGTCGGCTGTTAATATGACAAGTAATATTGGGTGGAAGACATGGATAATATCTTCTTTGATGTTATGGGGAAGAGATCATTTTAATCGTGAATTTATAGGGATTGGTGTATGGTTAGACGTGAGTGGGCTGTCTTTGACGAAATCCATACTCTTCAAACGCCAGCTCAGAATCACTGGCCACATGTTGAATGTATAAGGGGTTGGCCTTCTCGGCCCTTGCACCGCGACCTGCAGTGATCTATTGTGCTGCACAGGAGAATGTGGCCTAGGTGGGATGTCAAATGTTCATGTAACAAGGAGTTATGAATGAACGAATGAATGTATGTATGAGGGGTAGGCCTTCTCGGCCCTTGCACTTAGACCTCAGTGG